AAAGAAAGAAAAAGAAAAAAAAAACTTCATGTGCTCTTGTGAGGTGGAGCATGCAAAATGTGAGTTCAAAAGACATGAAATTGCCCTTGCTCTGATGTAAATGTAGACGATGATTCTAAGTGGGACACACATTTATGTGAAGGTAAGAATGAAACCTATTAACCTCCCACTCCCTCCTCCCCCAACACATAAACATTTCCCATTATTTTCTCCTGTTGGAAGTACTTGAGTGTAAGTGTGGGCACTTGTATATCAGTGGGGACAGAAAGGAGTTTGTTTTCGTGACCATTCTTACCTGCCCACAGCATGGCTTTTTTTAGGAGCAGGCTAATGCATTTATGACCCATGGGAATGCCATGATTCACCCACGTCAGCTGCCCCTCTTCCAACTGAATCCTGCAGGTCCCCATGGTCTTCCTGTCACTGACAGTTTGATCCCTTCCACCATTGCTGAATTCAACAGCACCTGAGTCAGGACTCTTGCAAACCTTACACGTCAAAATATAGTGACTACAAAGGGAAAGTTTTTAAAAGCAAATGTATTCTTCCCTCATTGTTTAAAAAAAGATTGAATGGCAAGACGTTAAATCTCCTTTTACTACAAAAGTAAAGAAAATCATGCAATGAGACGATCCTTTTGGGCCTTCAGCATAGACACCCTCCCCTTTCTTCCCCAAGGCTCCCTGCAGTCCAGGGCAGGTTTCTGTCCTTGGCAGGCTGAGCTTTGTTCAGTCCCCTCATTCCTTCCTAGATCATAACACTCTGGATTTCTCAGCCCTTTCAGTCTGGTTCTTCCCTCATGGCCTTCACAAGCCAGTCCCGTTCTGTCCCCTGCTCAGAGTCACTGGTGTCACTCACCTCCAGAGACAGCAGCTTTGAGTACTTGATTTTCTGCTCTTGGGGCAGCCTCCGCTGTATGGACAGGAAAAAGGCCAACCAGAGCAACAGAACCACACAGCAGGCCTGGTAGAGCACAGCCAGGCTGAAGCGCATCACCACGAAGCCCCCGACAAAGCTGCCCAGGCTACAGCCACTCCTGTAAAAGTGGCCTCGGAACAAGGCACTCAGAGCCCTCTCCATGTGGGGAGTGGTCAGGTCCTCTACTGAGGCCTCCACAGCCCACCACAGAGCCCCATTGCTAATGGCACTCAAGATTTGAACAGGGAGGACAGACCACCAGCTCCACAGGAAAGAGTAGTAGAGCAGCTGCCCAGCGAGGCAGCCCAGCCCCAGCCCCACCAGGCCTGCCCTGGACAGTTTCCTAAGCAATGTCATTTCAAACAGATGAAGCAGAATTTCCCCCATCAAGCTGAGGGCAACCGAAAAACCCATGACCAGCTCGCTGCTCCCATGGTCCTTCATGTGCCAGAACAGAAAGTTCTGGACAGTACTGATGATGGCTCCTATCAAAACAATGGTGGAGGCGAGGAGAATGAGGCGGGGGTCGCCCCTCACAATAGACAATGCTTTGACGCTTTTATAGCTGGGCTCCCACGGCCGATAGATGGGAATGGGAAAGGCAATGCTCATCAATAAGGCCAGGATGCTGACCACCGAGTAGCCATAGAAGTGGACCACACCCTGGGGGCCACTGGTCATCAGGAAGCAGTCCAGCTGCTCCACCAAGGCTGCGATGCCACACACACCTGCCGACATGCCCAGCAACCTCCAGACCGACAAGCTTCTGTATCGGTCAGTGGCATCAACAAAATCCAGGTACTCATAAAGGCTGTCATCTGCCACCTGCTCCAGAGGTGCTGTCAGCAGCTCCCAGAATGCCAAGGACCCCAAGGAGAGGATGAAAGTCCACCGCAACCCTTCCAAGGACAAGTCAAAAGCCCAGGGTTTCCCCTGGGTCCCTGACAAATTGGCTGGATTTCCGGGACCTTTCCCGGCAGGAAGCAAGGGGGGGTCAGTCTTGACCACCTCAAAAGTAACTTCCCAGGGATGACCTTTCAGCCCTGAAGTGTCAGGATGGAGGAGAACTTGGGATGTGGTCCTAGCTCCTTCTACAGAGAGTGCTAAGTAGCTGTGAAGATCACCAAAAGTTTCTTGGTCACTTTCACCAGGTGGCTTTCTGAAGCTAGGCACCTCCACCTCTCCAGTCCTCTTGGTTGGGTGGCTAGAGGCAGGCTCTTGGGCCAAGGTGATGTTCACAGGTAGTGTGACCCCCAGTAGTGCGTCAGTGCTGGTTACGCTGCTGCTTCCATTACAAGGGAGGTGCACCCAGTTTTTGTCTGCCAGTGGAACCAGGACCATCAGCAGGCTGGCCCCCACCGAGCCAAGCAGGGAGCCCATCAGAAGTGTTCTCCGTTTCCGGTAGCTTTTGGCCAGGATGGCACAGATGGGAGCCCAGAAGGCAGCGATCAGGTGCTTGGTTCCCATTAGGATGCCCACCCAGGGCGCGGCCAAGCCCAGCTGCCTCAGGTAGAGGGTCAGGAACGGGGTCACGCAGGCTTCCCGGACCCCGCACAGCAGGTGAAAGAGCTTGGCTATCCCCAGAGCCCTGCTGATGTCCCATCGGGGGTTGGCGCTCATGGCTGTCCGGCTCCTTCAGGCCTGGGCCGACAGAGGGCGGAGCTGGGCGCAGGGCGGGCGCGGCCGCTTTTTCCCGGGAGGGAGGCTCTGGGGTCGGGGCTCCGAGCGAGTGGGACTGCGACCCGGGTCTGGGGCAGCGCCACGGTCACCAGGTCAACGCCCGCCCCCAGCCAACGCCCTCAGGTCCTCCCGCCCGGAGGGAGAGGAGCGGTGGGGGCGGGGGTGTGGGTGGGGCCGGCGTCCCGCGAGCCGCACCTGCCACGTCCCGTCGCCACCGTGGGCCACCTGCCCGGAAGTTCGCAGATGCACAAGGGGCGCGTCCCGGGACCTGCACGGTGCTCTCTGAGTCCCGGCAGCCAGGCTCCTCTGGCTGCCACTGTAGCCCAGGAGCCTGGGCTAAACACCTGTCCTGCTTCAGGCAAGTAAAACCGTCAGAGTCTGCCTGCGGGGAGCCAGAATGGAACGCATGGTATCCACTAGGCTCTCTCCCTCATCATCTTCAGGTGTTTACCCCATCAGTGACCAACAGCTGACACTGCAAATCCCATAACCCTGTCCCCACCCTGGCCCCAAGAATCCCACTCCCCTTCCCTACTTCGTCGTTCTCTCTAGCACTTATCACTGTCCAAGGCAGTACAGGTTTATCGTTTATGTGTTGACCTTGTTTATTGTCTGTCTTCTCCAGAATCCAAGCCCCAGGAAGGCAGGTGTTTTTGATCCCAGGGCCTAGAATGGTTTCATTGGATGCATGCTGCCCTCGGAAGTGGCATGACCTTGGGTGACATGGTTGTCTCCAGCTGGGAAAATCCCTAAGGAGAGCTGACAGCCGATGGCAGTGGTCCAGGGACACTCCTTGCAGCTGATCTGCCAGCACATGGCAGCCCCCAGAACCCTATGTATGTGCTGCTTAGTTTTAATCCACACCTAAGGGTGCTCAGGTGCCCTGTATGAGAGTACACACAGCTGAGGTGGTTAGCTAGCCTTTCATCAAAAAGACAGAGATAGCTAAGACAAGCACTTCATCTTAAATCAACAGAAGTGTCTTCACTAATGAACATAATAGATATTATAAATAGTTTTTCACTGGTGAAATTAGTGGTGTCTAAGTCACCTGGGTTGGGTATAATTTTTCTGAAAGCATTTCTTCTCTTGCTGGAACAGGATATAATAATCTAGAGATTCCAGTAGTCCAAACCCTTTGGAAGGATGCTGTAGGGTTTGCTTCAGAATGGTCCAGTGTACAGCCCCTGATTCAGTAAGCTTTTCATACAAGGCTTGCTCAGAGCACCTAATTTGGCTGGAGATGGAGCAGAAGTACTTGGCAACATATGTCTATGTGTAGTGGAATTCGATCTATGACTTGCCTTCATTGTCAGTTAGTACACAGTATGTGGGGGAGGAGGCTTGGGGCCTCACTTAACCTAAATAACTGGTAAACGCTGCAGATGTCTACTGAAAACCTAATGACTGAATGATCAAATTGGTATGAATCTGTTTACATTCATGCCAGTGGGAGGAAAAATAAAATCTAGTCTCCTCCAGGTAAACTTACTCTAATTCAATGCTACTGCAATCATTTCAGGTTTAAAACCACCTCAGTCACACTGATGATAGTCCCTAGTCCCGCCCTTCCCTGGGTCCTGCTGTGGACAACCTCAGTGGAGAATATCACATCCATCCACTTCTCAGTCCTGACCTGTCCTGGGTTCATGTCCACTGGGAGGCAGGTGTCAGACTCCAATGTGCCTGGACATGTGCAGGTGTGCGAGAGGCATGTCCTGGGGCCTGCAGGGTGCACCCCAAGCTAGACCATGGGCCCTGTCCAGCCTCTGGCTGCTGGTGTTGCCCAGGAACTTGGGCTAAACACCTGGATTGCTTCAGGCAAGTAAAACCATCAGAGTCAGGGTGGGGGCAGTGAGAATGGAGTGAATGGCATCCACCAGGCTCCCTTCCTTGCTGCACTGTGCTGGTGTCTGTGAAGGTGCCCACAATTCTGCACCTGGCCTTCAGGTGCCATGCTTCACACTGCTGCTTGAGAAAATCTCTTTCTGCTGCTCATGTCCCATACAGGCACAGGGACTCTCTCTAAGGCTGCCCTTGGGCCCCTATGCCTCTGCACCCCAGGTGGTCCATCTTACACTCTCGTTGGCATTGAGAATGTGTCCTGCCATTGAGACTTGCTTCCACTCCTGGGGCAATGAGGCCCAAGGCAAAGTGCCCTCTTCTCTATTCTTGGATTCCCAAACTTAAAAGGGAAGCTTCTACCACCCTCACCTTACCCCCATGCCCACCATCATCCCCTGGCACTCCATCTAGGTGATAGGACTCAAGTCCAAGCATTTTGTCCTCTCTGTTTCTTTCCCCCGACACCATACCTGTTTCTGGGGATGAGGAAACTAAAGATGTGTCATTGATCTGTTTTACACCTGGATGTAGGCTTTTGAACATAAATCCAAGAATTTTTGATGTATTTAATCTCTGGCTTGGGCAGTGTGGTGGCTCACACCTGTAATCCCAGCACTTTGGGTGACTGAGGTGGGAGGCCGAGGTTGCCTATGTTCCTGGGCAACATAGGAAGACCTCATCTCTACCAAAAAAAGCCTCCAAACAAACAAACAAAAAAAACCCCAAACCTAGTAGGGCATGGTGGCATGTGCCTGTGATCCCAGCTACTTGAGAGGCTGAGGTGGGAGGATCACTTGGTCCCTGGAGATCAAGTGTGCAATGGGCTGTGATGGTGCCACTGCACTCCAGAGCAGTGACAGAGCAAGCAAGAGGCAGGAGACAGAACATACCAGTTTATACTTCACAGATCTCTTACCTGGCCCAAGGGGACTCATTGGGTTATATAAAGGACTGCCCTGATGATTCCTGTTAACATATAAACATTGCTAGGTATGAGATGAAAGCAGGACTTCAGTGTACATTTATTGAATCTGACATTTTTCCCTCACCTGATAGAGGCCCTTGCCTGGGCTGTGTGAGGTGGGCAGTGGCCTGAGAGTGGGAAGGGAAGAGACTTGTGAGGGAGGCCGTGCCATTGCTATTCCCTGCTTCCCATTTTCCCCTAGGACCACAGGGCTCTGGTCAAAACAGCAGCTCTAACCCTGGTTTTAAGGGCTGGGTGGGGAGCTTGAGTGGGAGAGGACAGTGGGAGAAGTGGGAATTAAAGCTAAATGATGGAGTAGCCATTTGTGTGAGAAGCTGGGCTTGGTGTGCGTGTTCTCAAGCAGCTGTGGCATTGCCTGGGCCATCCGTAGGCCTCCGTGTGAGCCCTTCTTCATCACAGCCCGCGCAGCAGGCTCCCTGTGCTCCCAGACACTCGCTGGCACCTGGTCAAGGCCAAAGCTGCCCCGCAGAGCTGGGCCTTGCTCTGGCTGTTGGTGTAAGTGTTTGGGGTTGGTGGGGTAGTATATCCTTCCTCCTGGGCCTGCTGTCCCCACAGGCTCACTGGACAATGCCAGAGAACGTGTTGATAGGCATCAGGAGGGGTTTGGGCTTGGCTTTGGTCGTTTCCATCTCCTTTTCCCCATGTGAATTGAGCCACGGTGCCTTGGACTTCTGGGTCCCAGAACATGGTTCTGGGCAGGGAGCGACCTCGAATCTGTGGGTGGAGAGAGACTAGCTCAGGTGACCCATCTCAGGGATCAGATCTGCCCAGGGCATCTGAAAGGCAGAGCCGTTATTGTAGGGCATAGAGGAGGCGGCCATGCAGAAGAAAGAGGAAGAGTTTGGACAAGAAATAACAACCTGGGCCTGGCAGGAGACACCTGAAGCAAGCGACTCTGTGTATGCCTCCCTTACTCCAACACACCTCCTGAGGGGAAACCAGTAAGGGTCGGCTAGCTGGGACACAGATGCCATAGAAGGTCAGCCTGTGTGGTAGGGGCCCAAGCCTACAGAGGGGGCTGGATCAGGAGGCTGCAGGCTGAGTATATGCAGAGGCATCTGGGGAAAATGCAATATCAGCTGCTGCCCTGAGTCAGCCATTCATTTGCCTCAACTTCCTGGATCCAAGGCACAGGGCAGTGGCCTCAGCCCATGCTCACCAGGGACACCTGCCTGGCCACAGGCTCTGCCTCCAATGAGGTGCCTTGAGCTAGAGGCAGAAGGTGGCAGGAGCTGGCACCTACTTCGGTTTGTCCTATGGGCCCTGGAATTCTAAGGGTGGCAGGCCCAGCCTCACCTGACCACATCCCTGAAAGTGCGTTGATCATCCTTGTCCAGTGACAATGTCAGCAGCCTCTGGTCCTGGCTCTGGATCTGGATATTGTTTGTCCTGAAGGTGTTGGTCACTGTCTGCAAGGGAGAGATGGTGTGCATGAGTGTTGCCTTGGCTCAACAGGTAGCCCTGCCAACATCTCCTACCCTGGAATCTGGTGTGTTTCTTCAGTTTAGAACATGGGGTCCCCAGCTTCCCACCTGCAAGTGGCTGAGTAGTGACAACCCTGCACAAACTGCTTCTAGGCTGCCCTTGCCCTTGGATCTTACATAGTTTTTTCCATGTTTTTCCAAACTGTTGTCCTTGATTTTGAACACAAATGGGAATGCTGTGGCTAGTGCTTGCCAGGTTGTCAAGTTGCCTGAGCTTGAGTGTTAATTTCTTCAACATTTTCCAAGCACCTCCTATATGACCGGCATGTTAACATGTGTGGAATTTGGGGGTATTTCAGGGATTTTAAAAGTCTTGACCCCAGTTCTCAGCATTAAATCACATACCTTATTTACCTGCAGCAGACACAGAGGGTCTAGAAAGCAGCCAAGGACCCCACACCTCAGACCAGGCCAAAGGAAAGCACCCCCAGGCACCCTTATAACTCCTGACATGAGGGAGTAGCTCCAGAGAGGTCGCCTCCCACTGGGCAGAGAACTTGGAGCATTGTGGGTTCCAGGTGGAACGTTCAGAGGTTGTGGCTCATTCCACAGACAGACAGCAGCTTTGGGAAATTTACAACCACAGAACCCTGGAGTTGCCAGAGGCCTTGGAGACCATCTTGTTCAAGTGTTCCTAACCCTGGCTGCCCATAAGAATCAATTTTCAAAAACATAGTATCGGCCTGGCATGGTGGCTCACGCCTGTAATTCTAGAACTTTGGGAGGTGGAGGCGGGTGGATCACCTGACCTCAGGAGTTCAAGACCAGCCTGGGCAATGTGTCGAAACCCTGCCTATACTAAAAATACAAAAAAAAAAAAAAAAAAAAAAAAAAAAAAAAAAAAAAAAAATAGCTGGGCGTGGAAGCATGAGCCTGTAGTCCCAGCTACTTGAGAGGCTGAGGCAAGAGAATCACCCAGGAGGCAGAGGTTGCAGTGAGAGACCGTGCCATTGCACTCCAGAGAGCAAGACTCTGTCTCCAAAACAAAACAAAAAACCATAATAGCAGAGATTCTGATTTAAGTGGCATGGAGTTGAGCCCAGGCATGGGCATTTTTTAAAAAGCTCCTGCATGTAGGCAGGGCTAAGAACAACTGCTGAATTTTTCAACGTCACTTAGGAGAGGCAGACAGCCTAAACTAGGGGTTTGTGCATGCCCAGGAATTTCGGCTGAAGTTTTAGCGGGTGGAGGTAGGCCAGCCAGAAGTCTGTGGACAGGGTGTGCAGGATCCGCTGGGAGGAGGGTAAGAGCATAGTCTCTAAGCCAGGCTGCCCAGGCTCTAATCCTGGCTCTGCTACTTACTAGCTGTGTGACCTTGAGCATGTTTCTTAATCTCTCTGTGCTATCTTTTAGGATTGTTGTGAAGATTAAGTGAGACCATATATGTTAAGTGTGTGGAACAGAGCCCAAGACCCTATTAAGAACTCTTTATTAATTATAATTTTCCAAGAAGGAGCCAAGCATGACTATTGTCATGTTGGACCAGCCTGTCCAACATGGTGAAACCCTGTCTCTACCAAAATTACAAAAAAATTAGCTGTGCATGGTGACAGTCATCTGTAATCCCAGCTACTTGAGAGGCTGAGGCAGGAGAATCGCTTGAACCCAGAGGTGGAAGTTGCAGTAAGCCGAGCTTATGCCACTGTACTCCAGCCTAGGCAACAGAGTGAGACTCTGTCTCCAAAAAAACACAAAAAACAAACAAACCCTTTGAAAAGCACCTTTAGTGCTCTGGAGCTGTCAGCCACAGTGGGAGGTTGTGGTCAGGGGGCCAGGCAGTGGAACCTAGTGGGCACTGACTGGACAGCTAAAGGAATGATTGTTGATACTGGAATGCCACTCACGACCTTCTAGAAATTCTTGGAGAGATTGCAGGAGGCTGATGTCCTGCATGAGCTGGGGGAGGGGTGGGGGGGTGGGGAAAAGCCAGGTGTTTTCTGTTTGCTATAGTTAATGGAATTGCACCTGAACTGATTGCAGCTGGTGAGTGAAATGCATGGTTTCCTTAGGTTAAAAGACTGGAGCTTGAATATGACCCACTGAAGCCTGCACAGTGGTAGCTATAGGGGCAGCTCTCTGACTCTCAACTTGGTGTTCCTTCTTTAGCATCAGGCTGCTCTAGGTGTCCCTGGCAGGATTTGGGCCCCCATGACCTGGCCATGGACTTGGCCCCAACTTCTAGGTAATCATATACTGTCTCTGGGCTTGCTCCCACCTGCCTGCAGTGTAGGCAGATACCTTTCATTTCCCTTTGTGGTTTGCACACCTAGACACTCCCTACCTGCTTGGCTTTGGCCCATACGGACCACAAGAGTTTTAGATTTTAGTCTATAAATGCAGCCATGGAAGCCAGCGGAAAGGGCCAGATGCAGAATTTGCAAAGGATTCTGCTCTCAGTAAGGTGAAGGAATGGGCAAAGGGCTGCTAATTGTTTCCTGTTCTCTGTTGGTGGCTACCAGTTTTCCATACCTAAAACCCCAGTTCTTCTGTTCTGCTTTATTTCCCACTTATCTTCTATTTCAGACTTCCAGTCCAGCTAAGGTCATATCTGACCCTTAAACTTACTGAGCCAGCCACAATGGCCTTGCCCCCATACCGTTCTTCAAGCTGTCTCTGCCTTCTTTCTCACTCCAGCTCACCACGAGCTTCCCCTTACTGCTCAGTGGTTATCATCCAATCCATTTATACAAAACATACCCGTGGACCTGCCTGGTTCCGAGAGGAAAGCACAGCTACTAGAATTTTCCCCTAGCAGGGTCCATGTAGGGATAAAAGGGAACTTGCTGAAGTGATAAGTTTAGACTTTCAAAAAGCCCCTGACCAGGAGGTTTAAAGAGGTCATTAAAAACAGAAACCACTTTAAGGAACTGACTTTGAAAGAGGAAATGCAACAGCAAGGTAAATAGGTCCACCTTGGAACCTAACACTTAAATACTGGATTGCTCTGTGAGAAGACAGATTTTAGCTCAAGGCAGATGTCTCAGCCAATCAGAGCTCTCCTACAGTGGATAGGCTGCCTCAGAAAGAGTGAGCTTCCTGTTCTGGCATGAGATGGAGCACACTAGATGACTCAACAAACATCTGGTGAGGCCCTGCTGCAGGCGAGACACCACACCAAATAAGATGAGGGTCCTGAGCCTAGGGAGCTTCCAGGTCATTGACATACAAACATCATGCCATTTTTCATGTCACAAGTGTTTCCATGGCTGTGTCTGCAGGGTCCTATGGGGGCAAGCACAGAGGTGGTTCACTTAGCTCACCTGGGTGAAGGAAGGAGGCTGGAGATGTGGAAGGAAGGGGGAAAAGCATTAGGAAGGACCTCCTGAGGGAGATGACACTGGAGTCTCAACTTGGAGGATGAGTAGGAATTATAAAAAGAAGGTGGGGAGGTAGAAGGGAGGAATGAGGTTTCAGGTCAGGCAACCAGCATGAACAAAGGCACAGAGATGTGACTTCAGGAGCACGTCCAAACAAATGGTGGGAAGGGCCTGCAGGGAGTGCTCAGAGCTGCAGATGGAAAAAGTGGTGGAGTGAAGCTATGCAACACTGAAGAGTTTTTCTGTCCTTGGAGAATAGGAGACGATGGAAGGGTTTTAAGGATGGAATAACATGGGCAGGAAGATGGACTTAAGGAGGATCAGATATTGCCAGGGAGACCAACTGGAAGGGGATAGATGAAGGTCAGACTTGGGTTGACCAACTTGCTTGATTTGCCTGGAACTTTCCTGGTGTTAGCACTCCAAGTCCCAAGTCCAGAAAACCTCTTTAGTCCCAGGTAAATTGTGATAGTTGGTCAACCAAGCTGGACAAGATGGGAGAGATTTGAGAAGTGTTCCATCAGGACACAGGAAAGTGAGGAAGATGAGGCAGCAGGGATGACTCCTGGCTTTCTGGCAGAGGTGATTGGTTAATGATGGTACCATTAAATGCAACAGGGGATATATAAGGAGGAGATGAAATAAAAATGACTGCTAACACATACATAATGCTTACTTAGCCAAGCGCTCTTCTAAGAGCTTTGCATGCCACAATCAATCCTCATAACTGGATGAGGTAGGTAATGTTATTACAGTTGGCCCTCCATATCTGCATATGTGAAACCTGCAGATATGAAGGGCCAACAGTAAGGGACTTTAGCATCCATGGATTTTTGTATCCTTGGGGGTCCTGGAAACAATCCCCCATGGATACCGAGGAACAACTGTCTCCCCATTTTATAAAACAATACTGAGTCACAGAGAGATTAACTTGCTTAACATCATATAGCTGGTAAATGGCAGAGGCAAGATCTGAACCCAGACAATCTGGCTCCAGAGAGCTCTTAACTATTGGAAAGTACTAGTAGGCTTTGATTTTAAATATCTTGAGTTTGTGGTGTTGTGGGACATCCAGTTCATGCTCACTTAGTTCAATGCAGGAGTCAGAAACTCAGGTATGAATATCAGAGCAGGAGATACAGATTTGGGAGGACTTAACAAATGGAACTAAATCTTTGTGAGTTTGATAGTCCAGGAAATGAGAAGAGAAGTGAGCCATGGATAGAAATTGAGGACAGTAGCTACTCAAGGATCTAGGAAAAGGAGTTCAGGGAAAGAGGCCAACAAGTAATAAGCATGTAGAAGAAAGTCTGTAAGAAAGTGGTGTCCCTGAATTTATAGAGTACTTAAAGACTCAGAGAACAGGGTTTAAGCTCTAGTGATGGAATTCCATTCAAAATTGATCAAAGGAATATAAAACATTTATGACATTTATGACAGTGCTAGAAGCCAGCTTCACTGAAGTATATATAAATATAATTTCAAATATACACATTTTGTCTAATCACCTAAAAGGAGAATCCCATCAGACTAACAGCAGGCTTCTCACCCAAAACCTTACAAGCCAGAAGAGGCTGCGTTTCTATTTTCAGTCTTCTTAAAGAAAAA